CGCCCGCCGCGGTTGGGTCTCCCCCCCCTGGGGGGGGGGGGGAGCCTCTGCCCCCTCTCTGCGCAGCAGCGATATCCAGAGGCACCCGCACAGCGAAGGGCCCCGTGGTCCCGTCGGCAGTCCCGGGGGTGGCTGTGTGCTCCCCGCACCCCCTCTTCGCAGCAGCTTTTCCTCTCGCGGCTGCGGCGGGCAGGGCCAGGGCAGTGCCCGGTGAGCTCCGGGCTCCCCCGTACCGTCTGCCAGGGGAGCGGCACCTTCGGAGCAAATCCTGGTCCCTGCGCTAGCGGGATAGTCTATTGCTTGTCACACTGGCGCTGGGACAGCTCGCCAGGTCCCACAACCCGATTTGTTTTAATAATGCAGGGAGGGAAAAGTAGAGATGAGGGGAACGCGTCCCGGGAGCCTACTGGGCAGCCTCTGCCGCCTGCTCCGGCTCGTGCGGGTTCTTCCCCGTGCGGGTTCTTCCCGTCGTTCTGGATCAGCTGGACGATGTGCGTCAGGTCCAGGCTGCGGGTGAGGATCTCGAGAAGCACTTCATCCTTTTGCACGCCCTCCATGAACTCTTCCAAGGAGAGCTCACCTGTGAGAGCACGTTCAGAAAAGGTCTGTTAAACCCTGCAGCCTTTCTCCTCCCTCCGCCAGCAGCCTCGGAGCAGCCCCCGGGAGCAGCCCGGGCTGTAAGAGCGTGCCCTTCCCGAGGTCTCGGCTCTGCGTATCAAACACCCCACATCCCATCACGGCTAGACCCCGTGCAGATCCCCACCCTGCCAGAATGATAAGGGACAGTTTGCAGAGTCCCCTCAGGCTGGCTGCAGCCCACAGAGGGGACAGGGAGCTAAACCTTCGCTCTCTGCCAGCTGTCCTGAGGTCCTGGTGTTTTGGGACACCCAGCGCCTGGAATTGCTCTGGCAGAGCAAACGGCTGGTAAGGGGGAAAGCAGGAGCAGTATTTGGCATTGCATAAGGAAGTTCCTCACCATCTCCGTTTATATCAATTTTGTCAAACACCATGTTTGTGAATTCCTCGGCCGTCATCGTTTCATTGCACCGGTTGATAGCTCGAATAGCCTGGAGGGGAAGAAGGACACGGAGGACAATTACTGAGCGTTGTGCAGATTTGCGTATCCATCAGTAGGTGACTGGACATGAGAGGCCAAAGTTTTTTTCAGGCAGTTATGTTCTGAAAGGACTAAGTCCTGTCTGAAAAACTGGAGATTTAAATCACTTAAAAAGGCAATCAATGCATTAAAAGGTTAAGTGGGCATACTGGGATAAGCCAGGAGCCGTTCACCTCTGAAAATCCTTAGATTAAATTCAAGTGCTTATCCGAGCCCGGGTTTCGGTGGACGTGGTTAAACAACCCGCAACGAGAAGCCAAGGGGCTGCTGCGTGTCGGAGCGTGCAGGTGCCGTGGGGAGGGTGGGGTGTTCGAGACAGGTCCGGCCGGGGAGGCCAGCCCGGTGGGAGGACTGGCAGAGGACAAGCAGCAGGTTTGGCCAGTGCCTACCAATTTACCAGGGAGTTGTCTTTTGGGTTGGAATATTCCTGTTACAACCTCTCTGTCTACCTGCATTTAATAACCATGGTCTGCGAAAGAAACGGAAAAAGCTGAGCCCGCTCACTTTGATGATGTTCAGCAATTCTCCCCGGTCAATGCAGCCGTTCCCGTCCACATCGTAGAGCTTGAAATACCATCGCAGCTTCTGATCCACCTTCCCTTTCAGGACCAGACTCAGAGCTGCCACATACTCCATAAAATCTATGTAGCCATCCTAAAAGCAGAAGGATAGCAGCTAGATGAGATTAAAAGCAGAGAGGCAGGCAGTGATTTTGCTGGTCACTTTTGGAAGTCCCCACCGAAGACTTCAATGTGTGGCCACCACCTTGAGAGCAGGGTCTCGGGGAGGCACCGGGTGCGGGTCCCCTGCACGCCCACCCGTTAAAGCCAATGCACCGTACGGTGCGGGCTCCTCGTTGGTCTATGCAGAGTCGTTAGGTGTTGATAACAAACGAACTCGGTGTGTGTACCTGGCTTGGGGACTAATGATGTCTCAAAAGCTAGCCCGTGCTAAAGGAATCTCTTTATGCAAAGCAGTGGTAATTTGGAGGTCAAAGAGGAGCAGGTTTATGCAGATGAACCCCGAAGGATTATCTAACATTATCCTGTCTGCGCACACCTACAGCTCCTCTGCTGCAAGGAGGCCTCGTGTGCAAACCTCCGGGAGAGGAACGAACTCGGGAATTACCCTGCACGTTGCCGACATTCGTGGCTGGGAAGGCGCTGCTCTGTCCCTGTGCCATTTCTGTATCTGCTTCACATTTGGTCACGTCAAAAGCACAAACGGTTTTATCTTTGACTTTTCTCCTCGCTGTTTGCCCGCCACCAGCTCACACCACGGCGTTAGAGACGTCCAGCTGGGCCCGCAGACGGCTCTCCAGCCGGGGTTATGGTACCGATGCAAAGCTGTGCTGGGGTGAGCTCATGTGCCACCAACCTGCTTCCAGACACTGCCCCGTGACGTTCACGGCTCCTAGGAAACTCGCTAAATCCCTCGTGCCCACCACAGAGCATTTCCACGGCACGGACCATTGAGATACAAAGCACTTTGAAGGAAAACGGTACGTACCATAAACCACGGAAAGCCTTTGGGAGGGAATAAGCCGGCGTTTTGTCAATGAGCAAAGCCACCACGGGGCCGGTTCAAGAAGAGCTCATCTGCTTTATCCCACTGCTGCAGGAGCCAGATTAGGTATAAATAGCTACTGAGCCCCATTCCCAGCAGGATTTCCTGTGCAGCAATTCCCTGTTCAGGCATGCATTCAAACACGGGGCAGCAAGCAAGGTAAAGGCCAAGGCACAAACAAAAGCACCTAAAGGATTTAGGCTAAATTGTATTATTTCCGTGGGATTAAGCCCACTAAGCCCTTTGGGTTGCCAGAAAATATATTCCTCATCTCACATGAGGTGCAATTTCAAATCATTTGCAAGTCAAGGAGGGTGTTATTTCCTCTCACAGACACAGCATCCATCTGTTTCCCTGAGCTGGGAAGACAGCATTCCCGGCCGCGCGCCCGTGCTCCCGGACTGCCCCGCACCGGCGTCCGGAGCAGCAACACCCGAGGTGCAAAGCCTCTCCGCAGGGAACAAAGGGCCCGAGCTCCTCATCATATGGGGCTGAGCACATGTAATAAAATAAATGGAACTGTAATCTATTTATAATTTAAAACAATAGAAAAACAAACCCGATCTGCTCTGGAACTGTTCTGCAACCATAACTCATGCCATGGCTCGGGAACTCGCTGTTTCTGCATGAATGCAGCACTTGTTCTGACGCTGCTCCCTTGTTCCTCACTGTCACAACATCCGATATTCAAGGATTAAAGGGCACTTCATTTTAAAGGGATGACAGACTAGCAGATAAAAGCCCTACTAATTTAATAATTTAAAATTAAAAGGGAAATACCAATTCTGGGAGAAGTCAAAGTCTATTTTCTTCCGGAACAGTCACCAGGTGAGGAGGTTTTGCTGACATTTTTGCCTTACAAAACTGATTTTATGATTTATGAGGCCACAGAGAATCAGACTGTACATACTTAGATACACATCTGCATTCGCGTACATCCAAACACACCACGCGCGATCACACGCAGCGAGCGGAGCACAGCCGATCCCTGCGCGGGCTGAGCGGCAAGGACAATATTTACCTTATTAAAGTCAAACGTCTCAAACATTTGCTCAACGTATTTGTTCGCTGACGGACTCAGGTTTTTCAAGCCAAAAAACTGTTTGAACTCATACAGGGTGAGCTGGCCAGAAGGACACTCCGTCATGAACTTCTTATACCACTGGTGGCACTCGGTAGTGCTCAGCTCCTCCACGGCTTTCCCGTCCATGTTCCCCATCTCTGCACCAAGCGCTGGTCGCTTTTGCAGCCAAAAATGGATGTTTTCTGAAATTTGAGGGCTTTCTTTTAAATTCTGCTTCTCGCCTTTAAAGTCCAAAGGTCCCCAGCACTGCAGGGATCAAGATATGGGGGAAAAACAGACCGCCTTGTGCGTGCACTGTCCCGATTCAGCGTTGGTGGTGATGGATGCAAAAGACACGTCTCCCCAGGAAAATTCAAAAAGCACAAAACCCTCTTGGGACAAGAGGGTGACATTTAAGTACCCGGCAAATCCCTCCGCGGCCAATGAGGTTCAGGGGGGTGATGGGCTCCTGCCAGGCATTAAGAGTTCAGGGTTAAAATAGAAAGGAGGTAAAATGGGAAAGTCTCGCAGATTACAGGCCCAGCAGGAGATTATGAGGGTGGAATTTTCTCCATGATGGTGTAATCTCCTAATCCACTTCATTTATGATTTTGTGTGAGGTCACACGAGCAAAACTTTTGCACCGAAATCAGAGTAAGAAGAATGACAGAAAACCCCTGGGAAGTCTCTGCGCTGTTATTGTCTTTTTGGTCTCCCTTAGTCTTATTCTGGCTGGAAGATTTCCAGCGGGGCTGTCAATTTGAGCCTGAAATTCAGGGGGAGGGAAGTACCATTTCAGCTCCTGTAAGAGATGGTATATGAGGGTAAATTTGGCGTGCTGAGACAAACATAGAAACATAATTGCTCTGAATGGTAAAGCTTTAAGTGCTTTAAATGCAGACAGCAGATGCTATGATGATCTTCTCCGGGGGGAAGCTCCCTCTCCACCCAGCTGCTGGGTCCCCGTGTTCAGACTCTCTGGTCCTGCCAGCCGAGGGTTTCTTCCACAGAATCGCCCCGCACGCAGCACGTCCCGGGAGCGTGTCCTGGCCACGGCGCTACCAGAACTCGGCTGACACCAGTGGAGTTGAACACGGCTTCAATTTTCATTTATGATGAATTACCATGAAAAATTCTCCATGTAAATACGACCAAAATCAATGTTGGTTTTACTCTGACGCACAGCATTCAGAGAAGGACTGGGAGATAAAAAAAATATATCCTCAGAAAGTAGCATGGCCCAGATTGTCCTCTAGTAATGAAATCGGTGACTACTGGATCTCTACCCACAGAAAGTCTGTCCTATAATACTTACTTTTTTATATCTGACAACTTTACGACAAAGAGCCGAACTTCTATGTGTTGCAGAGCTTGATACCGCTTCTGCATTAGGAACAACTCTGCTAAAGCAGGGGGCATTACACAAGCGTAAAACAGTTAGGAAAAGGGAATTAGATTGAGGAACGCTAATTGGATGTGCTAATCCTGCACTCGCCAGCAGCAGCAGGCCCAGGTCCCCGCTGTGCACTGCACCTGCGAACAAGGTGAGCCTTCGGTGGGTGCCCTGGGCTCTGACCCACCCGCCAAAGGGGACACGGCTGCCATAGCCCGTCCTGAAGCATAGAGAGGGGTTGCAATATTGAGGCATTCATTAATAGCAGAAAGGTTGCGTACTGAAGGTGGATGCAGGCTCGCTGTTTCAAGAAATATTTGCTAACAGTGCATCCGGCTCCCCAGAATGGGCAATGGAAAAGCTGAACAGTTTCATGCTGCCTGCTGGAGATGAGCTGCGGGGACGTGCCAGCTGGATTCCAGCTCCAGTTACTACCTCATTTCCGAGTGCCACAAATGAAACTGCTTTTCCATTCACTAACAACAATACTTTGCCCGTGTCTGGGAAAACCTAGTTTCAAAGAAGGAGCAGAATTTAGGCTCAGCTGAGGAAGCCGGTTGAACCTTCCTGGGTTTTGCAGCTTGTGCTAAGGCCAGGCTTGTGCAGATGAGCCTTGCTGGGCGACCTTTCCTGCAGTGCCGTGCGCTGCTGACACCCAGTGCCGCTGTGTAAGCAGTTGGCAATAAATGACAGGACAAGTCAGACCGGGTTTTTAGAGCAAAATCCACACTGCATGTTTTTCTGGGGAGCAGTGCCACAGCCTCACCACCCATTCCTCAGCTCATGTGTTCACCGCCGGTCCTAACTGAGACACTTGATGGGAAGCTGAAGTCACACCGGTCACCAGTTTCATTGCTTGGGCTTTATTGCTCTCAACTAGGGCTTTTTGTCCAGGATGGGTCTCCATTTCACAATGTTTGCACTCGGGACGTCATTCACCTTCCTGGTGTGATTGGTGTCACGGAGGTAGCGGTACCCGCAGGTTGGTCTCTGCGCAGTGTAGAAGGGGCTGTACGAGTTGGAGCAACTTGGTTTGTAGAAGAGAAACTTGAAGGAGTCGGGCTGACCCCCCCCAAAATGGGCAACAAAAGGAACAAAGTGAGTGGCCAAGGGCGGGCGACTTGCTGGAGACTTCTGGCTCGTTGGGACAGGCGGCGTGCAAGGGACCTCCTGCACCGCTTTAGTCTTCTCCATCCCCTTTGCTCTCTTGTGGTCTTTGCCAGGGGCTGCTGGTGTTTTAGTCACCTGTGGAGCAGAAGAGCCAGACAAATGCATTGCGATTGCCCCCACACTTTGCCATCCTCCTCCATGCTTAAGGCCCCAGTGCAGGAGTTGCGTAATGGTGACCAAAAAAGTAGCAAGTTGAACAAACCAGGAGAGCTTAGGGAGTGCCAGCCCGCACTGCTCACTGCAAGGGCAGTCAATATACAGTATAAATCCTGAGAAGTCAGGTATTTAGATTTCTCTAGCTAAAAATCTAAGGTGATGTTACTTAAAGAGAAAGTGAGTTTAAAATCAAATGATGTACTGGAAATGTGGAAGCGATGGTGAAAGTAAAATGAAGTATACTGAGGGAATGCACACAAGACTTGAAGGACTTGATGTTCTCTTGACTTGCATTTCAGCTGGTTATTTGTACACGTGCCAAGTGAATAGAAAGTGCTACCCAGTTGCTGATATTCCTACTGTCAGCCTGATCTGGGTCATCCTTTCATCACATTTAGGGGATACTACATTTTCCTTCTGTGTTTGGCAGAGTGGAGCCTTGATCCCGGACGAGAATCTCAATTATAATAGCTATACCTACTCCTCGTAAAGTCTTCAGCAAAACCACAGCTATGGCAAACCAGCCATGAAAATGGTTCAACCCAGTCTGACCCACAAGACGAAATGGGGCATATCGGTGATGACAGAAACATAACATAACCCTTTGCAAAGCTCTTTCTTGTCATCAGTTGGGTCACATTTCTGAAGTCTTGGAGCAAAGTCAGTGCCATCACCCGTACACGCGGCACGGGGGACCAAGGGCCGCAGAAACAGCCCGTTTTGCCTGTGCATTTGCATGACCCCTTTGCAGAGGAGGTGGTGTGGATGTGTCCCCAAGACACACATAGGGCTGACTTGTCACCCATGGCTGCTCCAGGGCTGTGCTTGACTGGGAAAGTATGCCTGCTGCTGTTATTTAACCATGACTCAGTTATCTTCTTTTCATTGATGACACCTCTGTGCTAATGGAAACTGGCTCTTCCCCCAGCAATTATCCGATTTACTCCTGGGCGTCCTAAATAAACGCTTTGCTGTCTGGCTTTATTTTTAACCTTGTAAAGAGGTTTCCTAGTTTCCGTGACGCCTTGGCTTACTTGGTGCTCTATTTCTGTACTCTGTAGCTGGCTCTGAACACCGGCTCCTAAACCTATTAAGAGGGGGATACCCGCAAATTGTTTAGAAATCTCCCTAAAGCCTTTGAGGGAAAAGACCAGATCCTCACAGGTTCACGACTTCTTTTAGTCACTCATTTCCCCAGTACAGCCACCTGCCAGATGCTTGAAGAGCTCCGTTGCTGGAGCTCAGGGTGTTACTTCAGCAGTCGCTTACAAGGAAACATCAGTCCATTTTTTCCACAGGGGATAAAATAATGGAATTTTGACTCCTGAAGAGCAGGATTTGTACCATGACAGTCATTTCAGTGTGGTTTGTGAATCCCTGCTCTGAACACACTTAGATTTGTTCAGGAATTATTATATTCACATACACGCTCATGGCCCTTCGTGCTTTGGAAGATAAGAGACAAGTATGCACACGACTGCGCTGCTGCAACTGCATCCACCCAGCGGGGAGGCATTAATGTTTTTGAAGCAATGCACTTGGGGTGTGGAGGGGAGCCCGTAGTTACTTTGAAAACCCAACTGCTAAGTCATGTAGATGCTTTTGAGATGTGCAAGCCTTGCACGCGCTCGGCGATAGAGGGCTGACAGTCCTTTCCAGTGACGGGCAGGGTACCGTGCCAGGGAGCGCTGAGATTTGGGCTTTGCTCTTGCGATGGGGTTTGTCTGCCCTGGGGGTTCCTGCTCATCCTCTGGGATGCCTAAAGCTTGGCAGAAACACCCCTCGTGCCCGGGTGAGTCCACCTGCTTACGTGACCGCTGTCTTTGAGGGGAAGCACCAGCTCAGTGTCCGCAGCGCTATTTATGGCACTGCCAGAGCTCTGAGCCTGAATTAGGAGTCCCACATAATCCTATTGCATCCAGTCATACGTTTAGAGATCCCTAATGCCTCCCAAATTGTGCGTTGTCTCTCAGAGAAGATCCTCACAGGTGGGGTCACACAGAGAAGGCTGACTGCAGTACCAAGCAAGCACGAAGGGTTCAGACGTCCACCCCAGAAGAAGGGTTCCCCCGGGGGGGCT